CAACCGTGATTATCCAATCAGATTTGTTTATTTCAATGACTCATGCGAAACGAGGGTGCTCATTCATCACCTGTCATTTACAAATAAAATCACATTGATCTCACCTAAGACTAACAGAGATTAGTGCTTCTTTCATTCACAGATGAATGTGGGATGTTTTTTTTTCAGCCCCCTGTGATATGTTTTCCCATTCTTTTTTCTCTTAAGCAGTCATTTGTTTTGATATGGGCATACTATGTGAATCCCTGATTGGCTAATCCATCTGTCAATCATGCCCATTAGAACTCTGGGAGATTCACCGGCAATGATCAGATTCACATGTTCATAAAGTATTGCAGAGTGTATTCCAGACCCTGGGCAATTTTTTTAGGCTTTCTCAGGTTTTCTCATTAGTCTTTTTAAAATGACAACTCTGATGCACTGAGGAAAAAGATCAGTGCCAAATATCAGCAAGCGATTGAATGACTCAAGATTCTGGGAATCCACAGCTGACCTGAATCAACACACAAGAGTCACTACAAGACACCACTGTTTGCTTTCATAACACAGAGATACATGTGACAGTAATTATGAAACATGTGCACATTTCTTCCTATAAGTCATTGTCTGTAGATGCCAGGGAAAATATAAGATCATAAAATCCCTCACAAAAAATATGATAAACTATAGCAGCGAGAAGTTTTAGATGGTTTTGTCTGAATATTTTTTAGTGCAAAACAATGCCTATAGTGTGGATGCACCCCCTAATGATATACCTGCTCCGATCTAGAAGAATTAGCTGGATAAGGTCTTCATTAGAGGATACTGGCCAGTCTATAAATTGATGAAATGCACAAAACTATGTATGTGTTCTTGTTGGGTTTTTTTTTCATTCATTAGCTGTGAATAAGATACAAATCAGTCATTTTTTTTTTCTAACTCATTAACTGCAATAGGGAAATAAATATCTTACTTCCATGCAATATTTCAACAACAAACACATTTTATGATCTATGCCATTTTTAATTATGCTCCAAATACTTGACTGTGACAAGCTTCACACACACAGCAGCCATCTCTGTCATTTTGAACCTGCTGAATAGGCATATAGTACTACACAGAACACTGTTTTGACATGTACTTTCACTGGCACATACTTCACTTCACTTTGACACAGGATGAAGCCAAGATCGCTAATTCAGCACAAAGAAAGAAAACAGCTCACAGTAGGAAAACTTGGGTATAGAAAGACTAGATATGTTGAGTATATCTGAAGTGTCTTTAAAAGTGGCAGTTGGTGTTAACTGTTGAATAACTGAGTAAATATTAGGGACGCACCCATACGATATGTGCATCGGGTATCAGTGCTGATATTAAAAATTTTGGTGGAACAGATATCAGCCTCCAAGATATCGGTTCAGATGATTTTGGTCTATAAATTGGTGTCTAAATGTCTCTATTAAACCTTTATTTTCAGAAAGCTGTTTTCAGTTACAAAACACATTTGGAGATTTTTTTTTTTACCTTAGGCTGTTTGCATTTAGAGAAAATAAATTATATTTTCAATCTCTGCCCTAGTGTTGGTTGATATCGGGTAACAGCAGATCCATAAGTATGGGTAAAGTATCGGCATCGGTACCGGAACTGAAAACCCTGGAACGGTAGCCAGGCCACCTAGTGCCTCCGCTCAATTTAATTTCTCTCCAGTGACTAGGTCAGGAATTGGAATACACTAGATGGTTTGCAAAAACCCTGGAAGTGCAAGTTTGGGCACCAGCCAATCAGCAAAGAGCCATACATTTGTAATGGCAACGATTCCCGAGATCAAGGATTTAAAGCTGGAACAAAGAGAATGTTCGGTGAATTTTATCAAGGGGAAAGACGTTATTGTCCTTCTTCCTACAGGATTTGGGAAAAGCTTAATATACCAGTTAGCCCTGTTAGCAGTGCATTACATACGTCACGACCAAAGCAGCGATTGGTTAAATAATAAAAGTACCCGCCTACCCTCGAGCAAACGAATCCTAATGCTGCAAGGTCAGGCGGTTTCTATGAAGTGAAACCAGCTGATGAATCAGGCTACTGGATTGGTGCATAGTCAGTAGTTAATATTTAATGATTTTTATTTGTAGTTTGAGGAACCACAGGTTACCAAAGATCACAAAGTGGCCCACTAGCTAGAAAAAGTAGTCTGCAGTGGTACAGCTGAAACCATGCTGTAGTCATGTTTATGCTCATATAGAGCTTGGTGAAAAGTGTGGCATAATCAAAATAGTTGGGTTATTTGTTCATTTTGTCTGTGTACTGCTGTATACAGTATGCATTGTTCTCCATAGTCTGCGCTCTTTGAGAGTGTGCAGTGATAATGAGAATAGAATGACGCACTTCCACTGAGTACAGGACACACAGGCAGATAATTACTGAGAGGAGCCTCCACTATTCTATCGATTTACACTGAAAGCTCCTGAGTGCCTTTTCTGTGGGCCGCTTTCTTCTGCCATCTTTGACTTTCTTACAGACTAAACTGTCACATCTCCAAAACTAACTCTATGTAACTTTTCTGAAGAGGATTTCGCCACCTTGTTTCCATGGAGTTGTTATTGCTTTGCTTGGAATGTTCCACAGTAGGGCATGAAAATCTTTATTGCCGACATGAATTCTTATAGTGGCCTTTATCGTGTCCTGGTGGTGCAAAATGCTTGGTTTAATGCCATGCTGTGGAACATTCTAGGCAGCTGGTAGACCCTCCACCAGAAAAGTTACATAAGTCTGATGTGAAGTTTAAAAGATGCATGACAAGATTATATCCCAGGCCTAATTTCCATCTGTTGACATATACTCATTTAACAGTACAATTATTAGAGGCTAGAACAGTGTCTTGCCAATGGACACAACAACAGTATGCACTAACTTGCAGTAGGTTAGAGACCTGACCAACTCATTTTCATCACTACTAAAAAAAGAACGCTTATTATTTTTCTGTAACTCTTTGGTGGAGTACGACTTGAACACTAGACTCAATTATTTCAAGTGGCATTAATTACCTCTGTGCATATGTTTTGTGTAACGGATTTTTAAGAGGGGTAAAAATACATCCAATCAGAAACATATCTGACACAATGAACTTCCTGTTTACATTCAACTTTGGACAAGATACTAAAACAACAGGGGGCTGCCACTGACACTTCCTCTACACTCCAGCTCTATCTATAAACATGAGGAAACAAAGAGATTAGGGGTAGTCTTTGATGAATGCTAACATGGTTTCACTTCTTTTAAATCTTTAACTATGCAATTTCTCAAAATATAGGAAAATATGAGACCAAAAAATTTTATACAGTGCAATTTGAAACATAAGAACAATTTACATAGTTATTCTGTGCTCATATCAGATCCAGAATTTGGATGTATTTTTGCGAAAAAGTCAGAAGATGCTTTTGGCCGATTATGACTACACTCTTTCAGCCCTAGCAAGGTCACAAAAATTCATCTGATAAAACACCCAACGAAATACAAACAACAGTAAAAAGTGAAGTTCATGAAAGTTGCAGATTTTGAACTCACAAAATGTTTTCTTTGTGAGGAAAACTAGCAACACTTTCATTGTCAACAGTTTTGTTTTGTGAGGCAATGGAGTTTGTTTTGTTTCATGGATACTTTTTTCCATTTCCATCAACATTAATTTTCACTAAGTTGCAAGAAAGTGAGTCAGCAGCAATTACAATGTGCGAGTCACTCAAGTTTTCTCTTAAAATACAAGTCTTGTTACAGTGGCGCAGGGTGATCCAAAAATGTCCCTTACTCTCTTTAGATTCACACTCATCAAGTCACTTTTAGCCTAGCCCAAGGGTGCCCAAACTTTTTTCCTCAGCGGACCAAAATGAATACGTATGAACGAGCCGAGGGCCAAGCCTATTAATACTGTTAAAGTAAAAAAGTAAAATTTGAATTATTGTTCTTTTTAGAGGAACAGGCTGGTATGTGCTCCCTTTCATTTTTTGACAGTCTTTTCAGCACAGAATTTTATCCAAATATGTCATCTGAAACATCTGAACTTAAATTTGCATAATGCACATATGGGACCTTAACTTAGTGTTTTCACTGACTGCGGTACATGCGCACTCAAAATCTGATTAATAACAAATCTTTGGGAGTTTATTATTTAAATGGAATGTAAAAAGTAAAATCACCTCATTTCTTCTTGATCATGGTCCATCTCTTTGCAGTTTGCAATTTACATGTCATTTAAGTCCAGACATCAGATTATAATCAGATTTTGGTGTGCATGTAATCAAGGTCACTGCATGGATCTATAATAAAAACTGGACTAAACTAAATTAATGTTTAAACTGTTAGTTAAAATCATTTTAGAGTGAATTTGTGTAGAAGTGACCTGGATAGAATGGTGACCCCATCGTGACTTAATAATTTATTTATTTATTTTTTATTTATCTTTACAAACCACCACTTAACTGATGTGAAACTATGATATTATTTTTACCACAGATATTGTACCACCAAACTAAGAAATAAAAGATGTGAAAAAAACATGAGAATCTGCTACATGCACATTTACCCCCATCTGAATGAAAAAATAGCTACAGAATGACTTAGAATAGAATACTATAAAATATTTAAATGTAATCTGAAATCCAGCTACGTATGTATCACAGACTGCATAAAGAAGTGGATTAAGGGAGTGTGACATCACCCATAGCGGTCGGCTCCAGTCAAATGAAGCTCACTGAGGCTTGCGGTTACTAGTATAGGAGCGAATTTGGAGTTAGGATTTAGGAATAGGACCTAATTTATGGACAAAATTGCGAAATAAAAACACCAGGAAAATGATAAGGCTCAGTGCAGCAGTCACAGAGAAAGGGGTGACAAATTTTCAATGTAAATTCAATTGGAATCAAAATCAATGCAGCCTTATGCGCCTTCATGGTCACTTCTAGCAGGGTTAGCTATGTCCATTTCTATATACAGTCTATGGTTTGTATACAGGTGTATGGCTCATTTACCGTGTGGTAGAGTGATGCTCGCTCCGTCCAGAATGGCCTGAGCCAGCAGGTGATCATTGCCCTCGAAGGCGCTGGCCGCGGCTCGGAGGGCGTCCCAGATCTCCTTGCGTCCCTCAAACGCTGGCGCCGTATCCCAGAATTCATCTCTCTTACTGCGCAGCTGGCCCTCCGTCATCGGGTAGTCGCTTTTCCATTTGGGCCTTTCACGTTTTAGGGGCTGATTTCGCCCTATAGTGAACCACTGAAACCAAAACACAGACAGGAGAGAACGCAAAATAAGCCCATAAGTAATTTCACAAATGGAGGAAAAGTAATTTGTGTAAAATCTAAAATTGCACTTACCAGGAAATTATCAGGAAGTGGTCAGTAGTAACATCCGTACATGAAGTTGTGGTTGCAGATGTTGCAGAAAGAGAGAGAGGGGAAGGGGAGAGAAAGAGAGAGAAATGAAAGATGATATTAGCCATTACCAGAGTGGATGTGATTCACTAAAACTCAAGAGACACTTTAACCTAATGTTGTTTTATCTGCACAGACACAAGGCTTAAGACTGAACCAATCGATAAGAAGCAAACCGGAGAAAGACCAAGGTATCTTTAAACCAGTCCTGATGTGTATGCCGTAAGTATGCAATAATGAATAGCAATGTACGGACATAGAAAGAAAAGTACAACAGATTGTGTTGTAATTATATTGATCTGTATGACTGAGATGAGTCAACTCTGTATAAGTGATAAACAGGAATCTGGTTTAGTCCATTATGCCACACTAAAGCCACTTCTACTGAGCTGACGATGCACATACACTATAACAGGGAAAGACATGGAAACTAAGCCATACTTATTTGACAGAATTAACAATTTTCTATGGATTTTAAAAACAAAATGCATGCTTTGACAACTACAAATGGGTGTAGAGAGGGAGACCTGGTGTAATTGAGTGAGGGAGTTGAGTTTCACTTGCTGCTGTTCCACAAATCAAACTTGACATAAATGTAACACCACTGAGCTGTTTGTATTGATAAAAAATATATGTATAGATTTTCTCTAGAGTGACTATAAATTAAATGGTGAGTTTTATTCTGAAGTGGTTACAGCTTACAACTTGAGAATATGACTGAAATAGTGAACTCAAATACATTTTGAATAACACATTCTGACCTTGTCTAATCAACAAAACTGTAGACTTGTAGTCTGTCATTTGAGAAATATGGAAAATTAACACTGTCGCCATAGCAATTTACAACAAAATATTATATGAATTTGAAGAGTGAAAGGTTAACAGGAAGCTGAAACACATAAATAATCAGCTTTTAGATTTCTGGATCTGTCACCTTAGTCTATTATGTTAACAACAGTGTAATCATGTAGTGTGGTGACAGTCTTTTCCGAATGCCTCATAAAGATCCCAGTGAGCCCCGGGAGGGTTGTGTTCAATGACATCCTGGAAACTTTAGTTGTACCTCTGGGGAAATGTGGAGAGGTGTAGCAGCAGCTGCCACAAAGAAAAACTACATCAAGTATAATAAACATCAATGGCTTTGTATTTTATGTTGTATTTTTACACCTAAATGCTCAGTATTACTCATACATTAATATTTATTGTGTTCTTTGCAGTTGAAGCTACATGATTTTAAAGGTCCTATATTATGCAAAATTTACTTTATAATGTTGTTACCTCCTCAAAACTATACTTGGAGTTGTGGTTTGTTTCATTCACACATTTTTGAGTAAACCTCCATTATTAGTCTTGTCTACATCTCCAAAGCTCAAAATGCTCTGTTCCACGTTCTTATGTCAAGTAGTGGTAGTTTTTAAGATAACAGCTACATTTTACCTTTAATTAAGTAGAACTGACAAGGAAAGTGAATACAAATATTATCAGTTCAGCGTGGTCGTTGCCATTAGAAGAGAAATGCAAAGATCTGACAAAAACGTAATTGTGATGACTGATTCAAAACAGCTGTAAAGCGTGTGTGGCATTTAACAGGTCCGCTGCGGTCTATATCTGTCAAAATAGGTTCTAGAAAGAAGTAGTGGTGAACTGGTGATGGGTCATGTGCACTGGAGTAAAGACAGAACTACTGTATTTGATAAGGAATAAACTGTAGCATCTCAAAACAAATATATAAAAGAATGTAACATAGTTTGTAACATAATCACAACTTTAGTGACATTAATGATGATTGATTTTGCTTTTCTGTTGCACAGTTTTACAAAAATGTCATGAACTTTAACCATAAAAATCCTTATCAAATGCATTTAAGCAGTAGTATATTTTTGTCATAGTCTCTCGCCTTCTTCGCAGCAGGTTTGAGTGTTCTTTCGATGTGTGTCTACTTTCAGTCTTCAGTTTCCCCTTCCTCAAACCTGCAGGTTGGGTTTGATAATGGTGGTGCTGTGTCTGATCTGCACAATTTGTTGTACAATTTGCAATGACAAATGAAGCACTTTACTATCTGTTTGTTGTTTCACCTGACAGAGGCTATAGGTCTATACTTTAGTAAACTTCCTTTTGAGCTCTGGTGCAAGCTGAGCTGATTTGACATGTGTTCATCCCAGTGGCCGTGGTGTCAGGTAACTGCTCTGTTTGGACACTGTGGGCATCTTGTTACTCCACTTTACTTTGACATGTGATTATAAGACAAGCAGGATGCACCGGAGGCACAGCTCACAGACAGGGAGATGTTCAGTGGTAGTAGTAGTAGTAGTAGTAGTAGTAGTAGTAGTAGTAGTAGTAGTAGTAGTAGTAGTATGCTGAGGATTTTGTGACTTTTTGAATGAATGGGCATTGAGATTATAGTATCTGTCCTCATGTGTGTCTTAACTGGAAAATACGTAATGACTATACAGTACATTGTGGAAGAGGCGTTTTTGATTCTAAAGCAAGGCCTTTTGCTGTTTGCAGAAAATGTTTTAATTTGTGTACCCAGTATAGTCCAGGAACTGTTGGCCTATTAAGACCAGTCCAAAAGTGAAATCTTTATTAAAAGGTGTACTGTGTAACTTTTCTGTTGGAAGGTTTGCCACTCATTTGTCTCCATGGTGATGCTATTGCTTCACCTAGAACAGTCCTGGAAAATGTACAGTTCCCGGGCCACATACTGCCCTTTGGTTGACTCCGACAGGCGCGTTTAAGCTCATTTGGAATTACAAAATAAACATATTTTATAATTTTACCTCATGCATGGACTAAAGCTGCATTGCTTTTACTTTAGAAGTGTTTTTTTAAATGACATTTTTTGTAAAGCAACCTCACTTTTTCATTGCTTAGTCATAACATATACTCCTACCAGTCTTACCAGCTTGTCAAAACAATGCTATGTATAAAGAAATAGAATTAATATTGCGCAGAATTGAGTTAAGCCCGGCCCTCCACAATATTTTCTAATGTCCCACACCTAGACAAGCAGGTGAAACCACCAGGCCAAGTTATAGGTCAGATCTGTCAAGGCTAATTAAAAAAAAAGAGCATATACCAGTTTAATGATTTACTGAGAAACATTCCAGGCAAAGCAATAACATCATCTCAGTAGAAACAAATAGGTGGGGCATCTTCAGGTCACCGTGTTAAAATCCACTCCTATGTCACACTCCAAATCAATGGCTCAAGAACAGCGTGAAACATCAGGGCTCACATCCTGATGCATTTGTAACTTAAAGCCTCCTGCATATTGTACTATGTAATAAAATGTTGAGGTCTACAGTAAGTCCCATTTTGTAGCAACTTCCTGTCCGCTGGCTCAGCTGATTGTCAAAGGGATCAATGACTCCTGAGTCCTGTCTGCTCTTTAATACATTAAATACTGCACTGTTCCTATGGAGACTCTCATTCAAGTAAGGATATAATTAACTACATAGAATTCATAGTAGTATGTTTAGAAACAATAGATAGCTGATTCATTTTCATTGTTAGTGACAAAAACAAAGCAATTTCACAACACTGTTATGACAATGCCTTTCGTCTCAATCCATTACCCGTAATCCTTCAAACTAGGGCACAGCCTCTGAATCGTCACAGACGTAATCAAAATGTCCCTTGCGGAAAATGTGTGACTGAGTTCATACTGGACACATCTACACCAGTGGTTCCCAAAGTGTGGGGTAGGCATCTTTTGTGGTATAAGGCAGGGTTATTATTTTACATGACGCACAAGTTGTTTATGATTACAATTTTGAGTTTATTTCTCAAATGGGTCTAATTAGAAAGCAGAATTAGTTCCTCACTTTGGGTTGACAGAAAACATATGCAATAAACCAAAGGGCTCACTCTCTTCAGTGTATATGACAGCTGATAGGAACCCAAGTGTATTTCATTGCTGTTTTTAAACCAATAAGTGAATGTTACAGCGAGGATCTTAAGTCACGCATTAGTCTTAATTGAACCTTGTCTTAACCTAGTCTTAATTGGTTTAGTCTTGTTTAAATCCCAGTTTAGTCACTGTAATCATTTTAGGTTGTATCCTGGATTACGTCTTGGAAGTTGGAGCTTGTTGTGGTTTATCTCTCCTAGTCCTGACCTGTGCACATCTATATATTAGGGATGTGACAATAACCGAAGTATCGTGATATCGTATCGTCAAAATTCTCACAATAATATTATGGACCATCACAATATATCGAATTACAAGTCTCTTTGCTTAAATTAAAAGTTATGGCGCAGCAGTAGCTAAAAAAGGACAGAGGGACATAGACCATGATACATACATGAAGAAATAACAGTTCTAAGCACTTTAAAGTCTTAGTTCTTTGGATTAGGTCTTGTCAAGGCATTTTAACCCTCTCCAGGCAGGCGTTGCAGATTTGCAACAGCTAAATGCCAATTACCTACTTACTCCACATCCATATTTTATGAGCTTTTTAAACTCAGGAGCCTTTTCTCCCATCCGTGCTGATAAACGTGGGCGATGCAGACTGTGCAAGAATGACTACACGCAAACGGCCTGCCAGAAGTGCAAAATACTTTTTTTTTTTTTTTTTACAAAGGATAAAAAAGTCAGGATTGTATATTACTACCCAATATTATAATTTTCCCCAAATATCAGATTTTTCCTGATACTAAAAATTTATTTGAGCCTGAGAGGGTTAAGATTCAATGTTAGCCTCCACAAAATATCACAATAAATATCATGACCGTAAGATGTATATTATGAAAATATCATACTGAGAGGTTTGGATATTGTTACATCCCTAATCGTGAGCCTCCCCACCATATCGTGAGCCTTCCTACGATATCGCAATAAATATCATACTGTGAGGTTCATACCGTGACGATATTGTGAGACTTGGATATCGTTACACTTTTTTTTTTTTCCTTACAGCTGTACACACACAATCAACAACTCTTCAACTATTACAGCACATCTTTAAGTTACACTGTGGAACTTTTCTGGACAGGGCCTCTCAGCTTGTTTGACTGCATGGAGACTTATACTGTTAACTAGAATTAATTTTATTACATGCATTCTTACTGTGAGCGGGGTTCCCTCTCCACACATCTAATCTGTAACTTGGCCAGGCGGTGTCATCTGCTTGTCTTCGTGGAACTAGATAAGTGTTAAGGTAAAAGATACCCTGATACATTCCACACAAGGCAACAACAACCAGAAAAGTTACATAGTACTCCTTTAAATAGGCACCATGTCATTCTCTATGTTGCCAAATAATCTTTGTCTGTATCCTGTGGCAGATCCAGTTGAATGCTATCTCACCCATGACCTTGGCTGTGTGCTTGCATCATTGTCTGTTCTACTCTACAATGTGCTCACATTAACCCACATTTCATCTGTCTCTGTCTAACATTTTGCATTGTGACGCTCCTGCTCCTCAGACTAAAAAAACAACCGCAAAATGTTTCACCATACAATGCACTTCCTTCCTCTGCCATAAAGATATCTTACAGCACCTTACTTTCAACAATAGGTCACGCAGCATGTCTCTGAAATCTGCTCTTTGCAAACAAAACAGTGTTAATGTTAATGGATTTGTTGTGAAAGATGTCTGGGAGAAGTTGAATTATACTTGGACCAAATGTAAATAAACCTAGATACAAGAATAATGTTTGACTTAAGAATGTAATTAATTAAGTATTACTGAAATATTAATCAAAGTAAAACGATTGGGTAGTTAGGTTAGTTAGGTAGTTATCTAAAATCCAGCCAAGGACAACAATAATTTGAATAGCAAATAAATGTGTTATAATGAGTTCACATGACAGTGTATTGGCTTGCTTTTTAATATCCGTAATGCTGCCTCAGTCCCATATAGTGCACTTTCTTGTCCAAAGTCTAAATCTGAAGTGCGTGTAATTTCTATAGGATCCTTGCTTCCTGGACACTGCCTGATAACATCAACCAGGACCATGTTTGCAGTAAATCACAACTTAACACTGTTTTGAATGTACTGGGCCAAAGCATAGAAGTCGTCGGCCTGGTAGTAGATTGCCTTGTTGTAATAGTGGTATATGTAGTAGAAGTAGTAGTATTTAGTATGGTGGAGAGGTTCCAGTTTTAATTGCTGTGTTGTTTGATTTGTGAAAAGTTATAATGTTAAATTATAACCATCTTAAATACTGATCTAAATCACTTAAGCTGGCTGACCTTTACACTTAGTTTATCTCTTTATACCCAGGCTGTATTATGCAGAAATGTTTGTTTTGATTTGGGATACAGAAGTAGGCCTATCCAAACATAGAGATATCATAATACAAGTCATTTTAGAGATGCAAAAATGACATGTTAAAATAGTTCCTGCCAAGGCCCCATCACATTTGACCATAACCCTCAACTGGTAATTAAATGGGCAGATCTAAACCACATTATAATAAGAATTCATAGAGAATATTCATGAATTAAAGGCATTAAAATGGAAATTGTTGAATGTTGACACACGGAGGAGAGGGACTGTAAACACCATGGCAAATAGAAAGTGTCCATAATGTAAGCTTGCGCATGATTTGCACCGGGGCCCACTGTAATCACCAAACGCACTGTCTGTGACCCATATATTTGTTATGCAGAAGAGCTAGCAGGCTAACTGGGCTACTACGCTTTAGCCACCGCTAGCACCGCCAAAGAACAAAGGGTGGCAGCGGCGTTCACTTCACATTACCCGTACTTTATAAAGTGGCGAGCAGACGCGGCATCAGGGCCCGCAGCGAGGACGACGCGCACCGGGGAGAACTGTCGCGTCCGCCCGCTGCTCCGATTTAAAGCACCGGAGCGATCGCCAGCCATAGGACCCCCCCTCAACCAGCAAAATCCAGCCAGGACACAACATGCTTTTAATCCCCAAAGGAAGCCCATTTAAACACACACCCTCTCAGCCGCCGAAAGCTGCGGATAAGCCGGCTATAAGTTACCTCCAGTGCCGTCCGAGTTCTCGTTGAGGCTGCCCGAAGAGTCGTGATGGCTCCCGACGCAACCACCCATGGATGTTTTGGCGGAGCAGCCCGGGCGTTTGGGTAGCTCACCCTAGCTACATCTACAACTAGCCCCTCTCTCGCTGCTTGTTCCTCCGGTGTCCTCCCCCCTCCCCTTCCCTCCTCCAGCCTCCTCCTCGCTCCTGTCTTCTCGTATCTGGTATCTACGCCTCTTTGCTTCGTCTTGAGCCCAGCGTGCGTCCGTGCGTCCTCTCCGCTCCTGTCCGGTGCGAGTCAGCAGCAGCAGCAGCATTTGGGTCGCTGACTGGCCGCTGTCCCGTGCAGAGAGGGGGTGGATGGGGGAAGGGGGTGATAGGAAGTCAAGCACAAGGTGACCCACAAAGACTCAACTAAACAAGAAGTGCACGGCCACAGTTTAATGTGATGTGAGGGTTGGAATTCATGCGTAACAAAGTGTAGTTTTCAGAGAGTTCTTGAGTTGGGGTCTGATCAAAGAGAACAAGAAGGCAGTGCTGCAGCTATAAGCCTAAAGTTGTTATTTTCTGCTTAGTTTCTGAGAGTCTGCAGTACTTGTCTATGCTCTTCCAACTCAAATTCCAACCTAACTTTAATGGACTGAGGCTTATGGTTAAATAAGACAGCATCCTTACTGCATCTGCACACAGAGGGACTAATAGGGATTTTAATTGACCAATATGGCACTACATCCTACTGTAATAACTGCTACAAGCCTTATTCAGGTCTATTGACAGAAGTGTAGAGTAAGTATTAAGCATTAACATTTTTATTTTTATTATAGGCCTAGATAGACACCATTATACCATCAAATTTGCAATGAGGACTTACATGGGGCTAAACAAACAGTAAACTAAGAGACAATGCACTCACTAATAACACAACCCCTCATGATCTCGAATATTTAACTCACAGGGAATATGGTTTCCGTTAAAGCTGCACTTTGTAACTTTTCTATGGGATCTGCTACCAGCTTGTCTCCATGGTGATGCTATTGTTTTGTCAGGAATGTTGAACAGTCATAAAATTTATCTATCTTGCTTTTATTCAGTTGTTTATATCGCTCTAAAATAGCGCAAGAAACATTTGCATATGATTGTGAGATGGCTTTCCTCTCCACAGATTTGACTTCTAACTTGAGCTGTTGGCATCGCCTACTTGTCTCCATAGTGATAAGTTTAATGTCATACTGCAGAACATCCAGGCAAAGCAATAACATCTCTACGGAGACAAGTGGGTGGCATTTCCACAAGAAAAGTTACATATAGTTTATCTATAAATGCAATAATACTATTTCATTTGGTTTTGTTTTGTTTTGTGTGAAGCTATAGCAGCCTAACCTGTGAATGTGAGTGCTTTCAAAGGTGTGAAAGTGAAGCAGAAGTCGTTGTCTTTAGTCTGGCGCCTTCATTATGTGCTCATGATTACTGTTGTAGTATAAAAGAAATGTCTAGCTTGACCAAAGCTTTACTGTCCTCACTGCCAAGACACTCCCCTCTCCATACAGTGCTCTGGGCCTGCCGCAGTTACATGGCATATATCACTACATCATTAGCATATTTGACACGTTTATTTAAGTCTTTGGGGCCCTCATATTCACTAAGGCTTTGTCACAGAGCTGTCCTTGGCAACAATGAACAGATGGTGTACAAGCCTGGGACAACTCTCTGGACTCTTTTGTAGTTCAGTTCTTTTTGTGTTGTTTAGAGACATTTTTGTCACTTGCGCTCTTGGTACAACATCCATTCATAAAAGCGTATTTGATTTCTTATTCATAGCGTCTTGAAAGGATTTTTGAGCTTTAAATTTTCATTCACAAATTTCAGCACTTTGTAGTTTCTGGTGCTGAGGAGAAGAGATAAGAGGGAGAGTAAAACATTTGCTGCCTCGAGGAGTTAGAAATGATCAGAGCTGGAGTCAAAGGCTTTTATAAATGGACAATTTGAACAGGCATTGTTCAGTTGAAATATGCTTAGGGTAGGGTGACCAGATTTTCTAAATTAAAAACTGGGACACACCCGGTGGGTTGGGATGTTTGGTATAAATAAAATCGTGAAAAGACAGCGTAACATTGTCCATTCTTGTGCCAATCATAATCTGAGGCGCTTATGTCGGTGCATTTTTTTCTGAATTGTTTCTGTATTTTATGTAAACAAATGACAATGTTTTCTCCTCTTTATGGTTCGCAGGTATCAGATCGGTCAAGCATTTCTTGTATAAAACTGGGACAAATCACTGGTTTTGTATCAATCTGCTGGGACAGGGGACACAGAGCTCAGAACTGGGACTGTCTTGGGTAAATCAGGACATCTGGTTACCCTAGTTTAGGACTACTTTACTTAATGTTGGGAATTTTGTGATAGATCTACATCCTTTGCATTTGACCCATCTGTCTGTTGATTTTCTATGTTGAAAAGTGAAAATGAAGCATGAAGTGAGCTAATTGCAATGACACAAAAGACACAAAAGAGGTAAGAAGAACGTCACCTCTGCTCAGTCAGACATTGTCCTCAAGTCTTGTTTCTTAGCATAAACAAACATTTTTTCTGTCTTTGTTATTGTAACCTATGAGCTACTGTTCAGATAATTTCCTTATGGATGAATAAAAATGTGTCTATTTTGATAGTAGGCCATATTATTATCTTTATGTAAATCTATTCATAAACTGCATGTGTTAGTGATGCTCTGTTTTCCTGTAATAATACTGTAGTAGTAGTACATGATCCTTGTATGATATGCCTGTTTGTGAAAGTAGAGCCTGCTCAAACACAGCGCTATCTTTAGTTCTGAGGAGTCGCGGTAACTTGACACAGTCACAACCTCACGTGTCTTTACACACATCAACATCTACAACACTGTATGCTATTTTACAGGAAGGTCTGTTAGTCATAGATTAGGATTTGATAAGAATTTGTTTTAAAATTAGGCTTATCACACACAGTTTTGTTGTTGTTGTTGTTGTTGTTTTTACACACTTTTACACAGGCTTTTTACCATGCCCTAGTTTATATGTTGTGTCCTAGTTTATATGTTGAGTCCTAGTCTATATGTTGTGTCCTAGTCTATATGTTGTGTCCTTGTCTATATATTGTGTCCTAGTCTATATGTTGTGTCCTAGTCTATATGTTGTGTCCTTGTCTATATGTTGTGTCCTAGTCTATATGTTGTGTCCTAGTCTATATGGTGCTTCCTCAGTAAAAACATGAGTAATTGCTATCACTACAAAACCTCAATCTGTTATCATCAGCTTACATTTAGCTGTGCTGCTTTTGTCTTTTTCTAAACAGTTCACTCCCCACTGTGACCAAAAGAGGGCGCCAGACACTACAACAACAAATCATTCTCTGTGAAGGTGAAAGAAGCAGGTCTTCAAAGAAATGTTTATTTTATATACATCTTTTAAGTTCCTGAAATGTTTTTTCCTCTATTTTTGGACCACAGCATTGCTCTTTTATGTTTTATAAAATAAAACAGTGGGTGTGGAATACTGCCCACAAAGAGGAAGTTTGAATGACACTAAAACAGAAGCTGTAGATGTTAGCTATAAAAACATGTGCTTTAATGAAGAAGTGTGAAGACTGTGGGTCATGACAAGTGGTGAATAATATTTTTCACTCCTATTTTACAATACATCATGTCACACAGAGGTTTGGCCAAAGTCTAAGCTTGTATGTATTTTTAAATGTATAGGCTGCTGACATTGACATGGTCCAGATTGTGTTGACAAGGTGAAAGGCTCTTCTCATGTGATGGCTCTTTGGGGATTCTGGATATAGTGTTGTTTTTCTCCACTCAACCTGTGCATTAAGCTGTGACATACTTTACACCACCTCACATACACAGGAATAGGCTGTTATAGACATGGAGGTGACAGAGACATCCGCAGTGACCTTTATGATATTTAAAAGTGCTCTATGGAACTTTTCTGATGGAGGGTCTGTCAGCTGTTTGCCTCCACGGCTTTGCCTGGAATGTCCCACAATGTTGCATTAAGATCATCAATCAATAAAACCTTGAAATGAAACAACAAAGCCATAACATTTCAACAAATAACTGGTGTAGGACTCTTCACTTGAAAAATGAAATAGCGTACCTTTAAATACACAGGGTAAAGTGAATTTGAGTTATGAATTAATTAATTAACCATTGGATTTTAAGACACCCAAAAGAGCTTTGATTGCATTATTCATTCACTCCACACTTGGTGTTAGTAAACTACTACTGTGGCCACAGCTGCCCTGACCACCATCAACACCCACACACGCACACACCTCTTTCTTATTAGACAGCGTGCGTGAAGTGTCTTGCCTAAGAACACAACAACCATTTTTGCCACTGGCGCCACACTGTGGTTCCAGGTATTCTCAGCAGTCTCCCATCAAAGTACTGACCAAAAAATGTATGAACCTATTGTGTTGAGTTGTTTAGTTTATTTTTAGTCAATTTGCATGAGGTGATTCACAGGAGATGTGTGATGATTATTTCAGGCTGCAAAATACTGAGTTCAAATACCATAACTGTACATCACTGCATAAAAGAAAATACAGTCAATATAGTCAATATCATCATTTAACGTTTATTAATCATCAACACATAAACTTCAATGATTCTTTTTACATTTTATTATAACCAATTGATGTGCTTTAACATTTACTGTCCAGGAGATGGTGCTGTAGAGTTTGGAAAGTGAAAGAGGCCAAATTTATTGTTCCACATTTTAATCACATCACCCACAGTGATGGCTTTTCATGATAATCTGTTAGGCCATCTTTAACTTTTGTGAGAAATCATGCATCATTAGACACTCTCATTTAGTCAATATTTAATCTTTAACCTGGAATAAAAGACTCAAATGCATCCACGTTTATTTAGGTCTATATATGTACCTTATTTGTTACAATTTACAATTATCATGTTATACTTGGAGACTGGCACATAACTGAAATATATATTGTATTTATCAAAATTACCTACCACTGAGTGTCTGGACCCGTGCTGCTATCCAAATGATCTCCTTCAAACCCTTCTTCTGGTCTCTTCAGAAAGCAGACAATAACGCGGTCAATAGATTTTCACATTGATTTACTATTAGCTGTCATTATAGTTCCGATGTTCCGGC